CTTATTCTTTTTAAAACTCCCAATTATCCTCACCCTCAAAGATTTGAAAATATTTTATTTTAAATATTTTTTTTTCATTTAACTCAAAGTATGCATAAAATATATCTGTTATTTATTACTTGAACAAAGAATTTGCTTATTATGTATGTATGCACATACATCAATAACAAAATTTAAACTCTTACATTATGCGCATATAGCCTATATTGATTTAATTTGTTGACACTGCCATAAGGAATTATAACGTTACATGTATGTAATATATGTATGTATGTAGATTTTAACGGCGAAAGTTCTCAAGTTGTATAAAAATTAAGCTATTTATTCATATTTGTAAATTTTGTTAAGTATATAATCTCGACATTACTATAATACTGGTGTGAATATTTATGTATGCTATATATGTATATTAAGAGAAGATGACAGTATTCGTGAAAAAACAAAACATAACGGTTTCATGTTGTATTCATTACGTCTCAAAAAAACTAGCATGTGAAAACAAAGTTCGGGATTTTAAATACATACTCACTTATTAAAGGTCTGCATAAATGCCAATCTAACGTAAATTTATTTAGCAATTTAATTGTGAATGTAGGTTAGTTTGTATTCAAGAAAATGGCCATTTTTTTGTATATAATTTTAGTTTTTTTCCTGCAATTTAAGGTTGTTCCCTTTGTATATTTGGTTTTGGTTGAATATCAACGTAAGACTATCGTTGCATATAAAAAAAGTAATTGGCGAATCAGCTACAAAATTGACAAAAGTTTTGATTCCATATTAAGCATAAAAACCTCAACTTTCGGGGAAATTCGTTTTTACACGAGATCGGAATACCTACTCATATACGAAATAAATAATATGTTTGTGTGTATTTAGTCTTATAGACAATATTTATTAATATGTTTTTTTGATTCTATACTTTATAGAAAAAAAATTATTTTGACTACATTTTTGGATTGATTAAGAAATTTGTGTAAATTAAGATGAAGTTTTCAAGACAATATGAATCTTTTTTACAAATCATGTTTGATACTTATTTAAACACACAATATTGTACGTGATTCAAAAATTGAGTGTAATACAAAAAAAATTTTTATTTATTTGAAATGCTAATTAGAGAACTAATTTTATTCTATGTAAGTAAAACAAACAGGCAAGAAGTAAACTTTGTTATCGCTAGTGAAGTATAAAAACAATTTTTTAGAACAAAAACTAGTTTAATATAGTTGGGACACAATATCTTCCATAGAAACTTTTTTTTTTTTCAAATAGAAACAAGGAAAACTTTTAAAGAAAATATTCAAAATATAAATTGAAAATGTCAATTTATGCACATCCACAGGTTAGAATATATGAAGATTTTGATAAAATGAGTGCCAAAGAAGTATATTTTACTGATAGTGGTGCTAAAATAACTGTTAAACTACTACATTATCCAGATATACCTCCAGAAGAAGTTCATAAATTAAAATTCATTGATGATCAAATACAATTTGAAGATTTTGAATCTGAAATTGATGATAAAAAAGAAGCAACCACATCATCTGTACTAAATAAAGACTGTAATGAAGAAGTTATTGAAATTGAAGAAGAGGAAGATGATGAAAATTTAATAATGAAAAATGAAAAAACAGCAAATACGGTGAAAAAGACTTTAAGAAAAAAATCTAGAGAAAATCTTTTACATAAATGTAGTAAAGCTTTTGCAGAAGCACGTGGTATAAATAATTCTGTATCATGTATATCACAATCAACGAAAAAATTATCATTAGATTATCAATTAAATGCAAGTGACAGTGGTGATGGTAGCAGTAGTAGTAAATTAAAAAATATACATAATCAAAGAGGAAAGAAAAGTTTAATGAATCAAACACTGTGTTCAATAGTTAATTCAAATAATCTATGTCCCGGTTATACAGCTTATTCAAATTCCCTTTTAGAAGTTCCTATACCAAGAGATTATGGTTATGCATCTAGTGATGATTTAAGCTCAGAATGGGATTCTGATGTACCTGTTGAACCAGTTACCAAAAATGAAAAACCTAAGGTAAACTTTGTGTGTTTTTGTTTTTTTTTTGTTAACATTAACAAAAACTTTGTACAATTTGTCCTTTATTGAAAAAAACAATTTTACACTACGAAACTCTGCGCGATTACGTTTATTTTCGGTATTGTCATGCGTTAATGATATGAAGTAATTCGAATTTGACTTTTTTGAGTAAATTGTACGAAAAATTCAGTTACATGAATTTTTCTAAGGCAAAATAAAATTCATCTAGATATAATTCATGATATCTAGATATTTTTTCATGGTTTAGAACTATGCCTTTTTACATTCAAATATACAGAAGTCCATTATAAAGATAACAGCAGAAGTAACGACCATTTTTTTCCGGTAGATGGTCTAAAATTTTCATATAGGAAATAAATGTCAAACCCTCAATACTTTTAAATTTGGCTGATAAAATCAAGTAGGTACTTATGAGAAATTTTAGTTGCAAAAGCAGATACATATATATTTTTTTAATTTAAGTTTTAATAATATATAACATGACATAAATTTGCCGTGTCCATTGAAAAGTGAAACTTAATATACCTAAGTTTCTGGAGTTTAAAAATTACGCGAATAAACTTTTAATACAGAAAAAATTTTTATTTTGTATCTAAGTTTAAATGTAAACGGTTCGGTGATTTTTCAACATTTACCTACTTATAGTTAATTTTTTTAATGACGTCATTTATAGTATATTTAAGTATTTCAATAAAAGTGTAATATTTTGGTTACATGACAAAATTGCATAAGACAAAATTACGTATGCCAAAATTATATAAAATAAAATATGTATCTATATACGATTAAAATGACATAACACAAAAAGACATATGAATAAAATTGACATATTATGACAAAATTCATATCACAAAAAAATTAATATTTAAATTCTTAAATATTATTAAGTTATTGAAAAGAACACCAATTCTGTCATGTTACCGAACGCTTAGTAGACTGTTTGAAGTCTAAGTATTAAAGGTGCGAAAGAAAATGTATAAAGTCACCTGATTATTTTTAATTTGATGAAAGAATTTTAGGCAAAAATATATCAAGTTATTATTTATGATTGCATTTTTTAAAAGTAAAAATTTGATTACCTAAAAACGTTACGGCCATCTGGACATTATTTTGTGTTTTACTAAACAGGAGATTTGTAAACACAATAACGCGCCGCAATTCTAAATGGAAAGTTTTTTTTTTTTAACCGAATAATATTCTTAATTAAATGCATAATTTATACGTAGATCAACTCCAGCGATTTAAATATTTCTAATAAAATTTTCTTTTTGGTTAACTTAATAATCGCCTAGTAATTCTTTTCACAAATAATTTGGTTGGGTATTTTTGTCTTGACACCAATATAATTTATAACTTGGTATTAAATACAGAAAATAAATAAAAAAAATAATAATAATTTTTTTTTAATTGCGCTTTTTTATTTACTAAACACCTCAATTTTCTCAAGTAAAAATTAGTTTTCTTATACTTTTTCATGTAAAATGATGTAAAATTTTCTTATTCGTTAATGTCAAAAATAACTCGAATTAGACAAAGATATTCACTATTAAATAGAAAGGTAAAAGTTGAAATTAAGTGATTGTGTAACTAATAAAATTAGTAATGATTGGAATACATATTTTTATTTCGGCACTAAAAAACTGTTCAAGGTCCTTTTCGAAACGCCAAGATTCTTTTATCGATGATATAATGCTTGTAAAGTGGGTGTTGATGTTTGTTTGTAGTGTTTATTGAAAATTTGCTATAGGATTTGCCTATAAACGTTCGTGTCCCGTTTTAGCAAGAATGAATGATAATCTGTATAGCGATGTCTACTTAAATTTATTTATTGAAATATTAAAAAATTATATCCTTCTATGTGTGTATTTATAACAGCATTCTGCCTTTATGAAGTGTATAGGTTTCACAGGCCGTTAGTTATGAAAAAAAAATAATTATCAAAAATAAAATTATATAAGCAAGTAATAATAATGTTAGTATACATATTTAAAAATTTTCAAACTCAAATTTCTAAAATGTCGAAAAATTTTTTTTTTATTTTCCAACTCGAAATTTTCAATACTTTTTCATGAACTCAAACAGCAGATTATTTTAAGACATCACAATATAAAATTTACATTTACCACTAGTTTAATATTTTCACCACATTTTGTGGTGAAAATTGTGTTTTTATTCTTTTATCATTTTTTTTTTTGTTTTTCACTAAAGTTTTGTGGTTTTTATACGAATGAAACTGAGACGCTTATTTACATACCTGTGCCAATTACGTCACAGAAAAATATTTTTGAGGATATAGATTTATACATACACATTTATATTAAAAGTTACTTTAGAATTAGGCACAAGTATGTATATGTACGTACTCGTATATATATTTTCAAATTATATAAATAAGTTTAGTAAAGTTCTAATTTTTTAAGTTTTGGTTTTACCAATTATATTTATTTTTTTTTATTAATTTCTGCTTTGTATCAATAAAATTTGGTAAAAATAAAATATTTTTAGTTCAATCCAGTATAAACCCTTTTTTTCCAGTTTCATTTTAGCGCTACATTATTTATATACACGCATTTATAGCGCATATATTTACGCATATTGATTTGAAAATTTTTCCACAATTTGGAAAGCAGCTTCTTTGCAGAAATTTATTACCTTTTTGAATAACTGTAATGTTTTTTTTTGTGTTTGTTTATACTAGCCTGTTTTTGTAAGCTACTATTGTTAAAACATATGATTACAACTGTATAGAATTTAGTTTTTTAAAAAAAGTTTTAAAAGTTTGTTGAACTGTTAAAATAATTTTAAATAGTGTGTTTGAAAGTTGCAGACTCTTTTCCAATTTCCAGTTTATTAATTACGTTATACGAAAAATACAAAAAACAAATCGTTTGAAATGTAATTATTTTATCCTTTTCTTATACTCCATTAGACTTCTGGTTGGAGAAAAATACGGAATATCGTACAATGGACACCATTCTTTCAAACATATAAAAAACAAAGATATCCATGGGTTCAACTGGCAGGCCATCAGGGTAATTTCAAAGCTGGTCCGGAACAAGGCACTGTATTAAAAAAATTTTGTCGAAAAGAAGAGATATGCTTTCAAATTCTTATGAAAGATGTACTACGACCATATGTACCTGAATATAAAGGACAAGTAACCAGTGAAGATGGAGAATGTAAGTTAAAAATTTTAATAAAAAAGATGTTCATTTTTTGTAAATAGTTTTAATTTTTTATTATTTTTAGTATTCTTACAATTACAAGATCTTCTTAGTGATTTTAATCAACCATGTGTAATGGACTGTAAAATAGGTGTACGGACTTATTTAGAGGAAGAATTATTAAAAGCTAAAGAAAAACCTAAATTAAGAAAGGATATGTATGAAAAAATGATTCAAATTGATCCATGTGCGCCCAATGATGAAGAACACAAAGCAAAAGGTGTAACAAAACCAAGATATATGGTTTGGCGAGAAACTATATCTAGTACAGCAACATTAGGATTCAGAATTGAAGTAAATTATATTTTATGTATATATTGTTAAAGGAAAATTTTAACTTTTATATTTTGTATGTATGTATAGGGAATCAAAAAAAGTGATGGTACTAGCTCCAAAGATTTTAAAACAACAAAAACAAAAGAACAAATAAAAGCAGCTTTTAAAGAATTTGTTGAAAATTTTCCACATTCAGTTGTAAGTTGTATATTAAATAAAAAATTGTTAAGATAGTCCATTATATACTTTCACGAAGAACTGAATTATAATGAAATTTAAAGATTCTAATTTAAATTAAAATTTTTTCTTAATTTTATTTTTTTAGCCAAGATATCTTCAAAGGCTGCAAGCAATCAGAGCAACTTTAGAATGTTCAGATTTTTTTAAAACTCATGAAGTTATTGGATCATCTTTATTATTTGTACATGATGAAAAGCAAGCAAATATTTGGTTAATAGATTTTGCAAAAACTGTTTCATTACCTGTTAACTATCAAATTGATCACAATACAACTTGGAAAGTTGGAAATCGTGAAGATGGTTATTTAATCGGTATTAATAATTTAATTGAACTTTTTACGAAAATAAATCAAGAATTATGCAACGATGTATGTTCTGATGAAAAATCATCTTAAAATTTAGGGGATTATTATCAATACGCATTATTTATTTAAATTATTTATAACACTATAAATTAGAATTAATTTTTAAAATAAAAAACAAATATAAGGATATGTAAATTCAAATTAGAAACTAAGCAAATGCAATAATTCATTCAATCAAACATGTTATCTAGACACTAAAACATGTTGCACAGACAATTTTTTTATGAAGTATAAATTTTAAATTAATTAATTGACTTATGTTTAATGATCACTTAAATTAAGTTGAATTTTTATTTAATTGAAATTTCAATAAACACATATTTATATAATCGATGGTATTATGAAATATGTATGTATATTCAAGTTAATTTAAAATTTGTATATCATTTAATCAAAAGGCACAAAGCAAAAGTTACAAAACTTTTTTTGCACATGTATAGTTGTCAGATATTTTTTTAATTGCATAAAAAATACATTTCAAACACAAATATACGCTTTTATTTACATTCATATTACATTTTAAACACGTATACATAATATGTATATATATTCAAGTTTATCATGATTATAATAAGCTAAAAATTAAGTCATATTGTAAAAGTTTAGTAACGTTAATTATTAATATTTATTTTCATGTTATTTATTCATGTTATAAAAAATGATAAACTATGCCTAATATATTAGGCATTTAAATTTTTATTAAATATTTTTGAATTTGAAAATTAAAATGTGCAGATTTCCATTTATAAGTATGCATAAGGGTCACATTATAAGCATTATATTGAAACCACATCGTGTATACATTGATTTAAGTTAGTCATAAAATTAAATTTTTAGTTAAAAAAATTATTAATAGCCATAAGAAAACTGATTATATATTTAAGTTAATTATTAAAAAGTAGATATAAATTACTAAATTATGTAATATATTATATTAGATACCAAATGTATATTGAAAACATTTACTCTCAATTAACGGTATACCTTTAGATATACGTATTTTTCATAGTTGTCAACTGCTTGAAGTCCTTGAAATTATTTGCATTTGTCATTGATTAAATTGATAAAAGGAACGTTTATGAGATACATAAATGTATTATAAAATTATAAATATATTACAAAATATTTGTTATTAAAAACTTAACTTCATTTATATATTTTTAATTTAGTACCTTGTTTCCGTTTCGGACATTTTTTAAATTACAAAAATTATAGCAATATAAGAATTTTTGGCTTTCTTTGCAGCCGAAAAAAATGATTGCGCTGTTTTATTTATTTCTGTAAATTTTTTCGCTTGCATCATAACACGAAATCCTGATTGAAGCGTTAAAATGATTAATAAAAATTATTTCAGACGAACGCCAAATTGTTGACAACTATGAAAAGTACCAAACAATTTCGTAATTTATATAAAATATTATTTAAAATACCATAATATGTGTTTTATTTAATAATAAGCATATTTATTAATTTTTTTTTTATTTAAGTTTTAAAATCGATAAACTAATATTATTATACTTGTCCAATAATTTCCCTTTGTATTATTAAAGCCCAACATGGCGCATTACTATTCTTAAAACTGTATGACAATTGTAGGCTCACACTTATGAACTAATAAATATCAGAAAGGAATTCAGATAACCAAATTGTTAATATAAGTAAAAGGAATATTAGTCTTATAAAGAGTACTCAAATGGAATGTTAATTTAATTAATTTTCAAATAATATGATGATATTAGCCATTACTCGTATAAATATTTTTTTATTGTTCTTCAAAATTGTGAAAATTCAAATTTTTTATAAACTCATTTTGCTTTATATTTGAAACAAAAGCAATTCGTACTTTATATTAATGCTGAAAAACAAGAAATTACTGTAATAAGTCATAAGTCATCAACAAACATAAGACTGCCGTATTAACTATTTGAAGTAATTGAAATTCATAATTAAAAATTATAAAAAAAATATTGTTTTTTAAAATTTAATTTTTAATTTTTTAGACAGGCATTGATAAATAATTTATTTCATTAGAAAATTTTTTTCCTCCTCCTCCTTTTAAATTCGCACCTCATGAAATTAGTAAAATTTTCATTTTCAATCTTCAACAACTGCAAGCTATTCCGAATTTCTGTTATACAATAGATTAACGGCAAATGTTTCGCCATCGAAAATTATAATTACATATTCATTTTTTTCCCTCCCCTTTTTTTACTATCCCTTTGAGTGTTGGACTCTAGATAGGGTCAGACTGGTCACTTGAAGAAATCGAGTGGTGTAGATATATATTTTATAATCGTATGCTCAATGACGATTCCCTGTTAACAGGGTAGTGGTAGCAAAATGGCATATTTGTTGTAATTGAGGCAGACCTTTCGCACCGCCCACATTAAAGAACCATCCAACTAACTTATTTAATGTAGCTCTGAAGAAGATCATTATGTTAACCCTTTGTAAAAAGTGTAGCTATTCGCTTATTTAAAGGAAAAGTGCTACTTTACAAACCATTTGTTTGATCCTGTTAATTTCCTTTTAACCAAAATAATTTTATTATAAAAAATAGTTTTGCATTTTAGAACAATTTAAGAAAATTTATTTTAATTTTTTGTTTTTTTTTTTTTAATAAAGAATATGTTGCGATGAATATTTAATATTATTCATTAAATATGTATATTATGCACTTAAAATATTTGTAAAATTGTACATACTTAATAAACGAAATGTAAAGGAAACGATATACATACAAATGAATATATATAAGGTCAGTAGAGCGTGAAAAGTTTTTATATGTTAACTTGACAATTGTTTTTTTTTACTATGCCGTATTTCGTGGGAGCACATGTATGTACATTTGCTGAATTATGTAGGTGAATTTTAATTTTTGAACAGGATACAAATTCGTTAATGGACGTAAAACAGACCATATGGTCAACAATCAACTGAAAATTTAACTCTTGACAAAACTCTTAACAGAAATATTCATGTATTATATGCGTAAGGATACAAGTACAACAATGAAATTATAAAATTTAAATTCAAATATTATGCACCATAGCTTTATATTTTTGTTTCAAACAAATATATTTAAATATTTCCGAATAAAATGCATTTAGTATTTTCATTAAAAAACTCTTTATTTATAAAAAAATAGTATGACACCCACTTTTTTATTGCAAAACTCAAAATAAAGAAACGGCAGTATTGCCATAAAATTTTGATATTTAAAAATTCATTAAAATTTGAGTTTCTTATAATAGTTATAATTGCTTTAAACATTTAATTTAAAATTATTAACACATTTTTACACAATTTACATATTCGTAACAATTTTCTATAAAATGTCAAATATAAATGCTTGGCGATGCTACACCAACTTGAATATAATTATTATTAATATTGGTTTCCGAACATTCGAACTTATTATTATTAATAGGCACATTAGTATAATTATTATTTTTACTTTGACTATGTAAAATTCTACTAATTTCCCTCTTTTTATTTTCACTAAAACTTAAATCGTTTGCAGGATCTTCAGCAGGTGTATATGAAGGTGACAATTCACAATCATCACCGTTTATTTGATTATAATTTAGTGGCTGTCTACGTCGTCGTAAATTAGTACTTTTTCTTATTAATGTTTTATATTCTTTTATTTTATCATTAATTAATTTTCTATCATCAGTAATCGTATAATTCTGATTCTTCTCACTAACGACTGAATCTTCATTTAATTCAAAATTTAATTTACGTTTTTGTAGAAAACTTTTCCTAAAACGGCTCATCCTGAATTGAACTGAATTATAACGATTTATTGCTTTACTTTTTATTCTATAACCAGTACTTGATGATTTATTGTTATCGTTTGAATGAAGATTTTCTTTCGTTAGTATATTATCATCGATAAAAATATTTTGTTGTGGTGTAAGTAGTGTTGTATTCAAATATCTTTTATTAGCTAAAAAAGTATCTGGTAATAATCCTCGCATTGCAATAATTTGTCCTGATGGTATCATTAAATTATTTGGAGAATATTCTTCTTCATATTTAGGTAATGTTGATGCATAAACTTCACGTTTGAAAATTCTAGGTGTTTCTTCAAAATTATTGATAGCACATGAATTAAATTTTTTTGAACCTTGCGTATTTTCGTTCAATGGTGTTGAAATAAAGTTAGTGCAATTTAAAGATTGTTTGCAATTTTTATTCTTTTCAGTTCGTGTCGACTTCATAATATTCTCTCTATGTGATGTTTGGCTTAGACCCAAAACAGTAACTCCACGTTCTGTATTTGAGGATTTGCCAGTGGAACATCTTAATCTGGGTTTATCTTCTTGTTGTATTTCAATCGAAGTTGTAAGACTTGGGTTATGTTTTTCGTATAATTTATTACTTGATGTCCACTTTAACATTTTTTTTTAATTTTACTTTTACCAGAAACTATTTAATTAAACAAGACACATATTACAGTATCTGCTACAATAAGAATTGTTTGACATTAACGACGACGGTATGATATCAACTAATTCTATTTAAAATTTTCTTACATTAATTTCTACAGGAAACACGTTTATAAATACCACCACATCTAAAACAGTTCACCACATTTACATATTCCAATTTTATTTATGTATTCCACGTTTTTCATATATGACTAACTACACCATAACTTTTCTAAAAATATCCAGGTCTAGACAATATAGGAACAAGTCCTTTTATTTGTATTTCACCGAGCTCATTGTTTCCTTAATAATTGGCCAACGTAACAATTTTGCATATAAGCACCATTACACTAATACCTAGAAAAGAATAGAATAAATACCAATGTCCAAACCTTAATTTTTATAATGCCATAATGAAATCCAACTTCAAATACATACACATAATATTGGTATTCCTTTATTATAACAACCAGTTATTTTTTTTAATTTCCTTTTTTGATCATTTTTCGTATCAGAACAAGGAATTGAATTGAGAAAAACGTTCATAAGTTTTTCCCATTTTTACACAAAATTCTCTAATTATACGCTTGCAATTAAGTCTTCTTTAAATTCTTATATAAATACAAGGCATTTTTTTTTTAATTTTGAATCACCAATTTTATAAACTAAGAAATGCTTACCTATTTATATAATTCTTATGTAAGTAGATAGGCGCTAGTATTCTATATTTTTAAAAATTAAGTATTTGAAATTTTAAGAAACCTGTTAAATTTTGTTAAAAAGTATAGGTATCTATAAAAATGAAAATCTCGTTTTGAATAAGGTTCACTTTAGATCAATTGATTTTCCTCTAGTAAAAGTTCTTTTGCTTACACAGGATTGCCTTGATCAACTAGATGAATTTCCTTATTATCAGCAGCAACTTCTACATACTAACACATATAAATAAGTTTTTCAATATAATCTGTTAAATATTTTCCTAAAAATTATCAAAAAAGTAAAAAATGCAAGTAGTAAAAGTTCATTTTTCAGATTAATTCAATTCAGTTAATTTAGATACAAACTTTCATCAAAATTATTTCAGCCGATATATTCGAATTGCGATTCCTTGAACTCTTTCAATTCTAAAGATTCGGGAAATTTCGAAATACAAAAATTTTTAAATCTTAACTGGACTGAATTTCTAATTACATACATTGTATGTACATAATGCAATTAAAAATTCAATACACACAATGTAAAATATGAACGACAGTTTATATTAATATGAAACTCTTATTTTTGAATGAAAATTGAAAAAAAAATATTTTAATGTAAGAAATCCTTATGGTTTTGAGCATAAAATATATTTTATCAATTAAATATGTACATATACATATGTATAAAAAATTTGCAATTTTTACTTTCATACATACGTTTGTGAAACATTCAAATTCAGAAATACATTCCGTACATGTGTACATATACATATGTATGTATGTACATACATGGTTGGAATGTAAACTCTTGTTAAATTTTTATCCATATTCAAAATGAAAAACCAAAATGCAAAAATTTAGGATGATAAAAATTATCACTATTGTTTAATATCCCTTAGGAATCGGTCTCTATAATTTGTTATCATGTAAAACTTACGTTTGTTGAATATGAAATTTAAAACAAAATTTAGTATGCATATATGTACATACACATAAATGAATACAAAAACAATTTACATATGAGTTTAAGGAAACATTTTTCTAATTAGTAATTTTTAAATGTCTATTTACTTAACACTTTTATTTTCCTTTTCCAATTAGAAAAATTTAATTAGATTTTTTGTGCGCACAAAACATATCACTAAGAACTTGTAAACTCTGCTTCACAAAATAATTGAATTTTTTAGCGCGATGAAATTCCTTCTAGTAAAATTTTGACATACCAGAAATATCTGTCAACGGTGAGTAAAATACAAAAGTAGAAATTGAGATGTTTTTTAAATGTAAGCGAAAAACAAATTTTCGTATTGTCTGTCAACCTACAAATATTTAATATTGTCTATTTTATGCAAAAAAAAATTGTGATCGACGCTCTGCTCGATTGAGAAAATTTTGTAATCTCTGATCTGAAATTTTGGAAGCCTTAACGTTTAACTAGTTATTTTACTGGGCAAGTGAGAAGAAAGTGAATAATTATCATGTATTTGTATAACGTAACCTTCGAGTGAGAAGAATTATTCGGTATTATGTATCTGTTTTTTTTTTAATTTATAGGAAATTTGTTTTTGAAAGTGAGATGTTAATTTCAATAGTTAAATAGATATAAGAAAGATTAATAAAATCCAATTGAAAAAATGAGTAATCTCATTAGAAAAATGAAATATCAATTAGAAAAAAGGAGAATTCTTTTTTTCTCATTGAAAGTGAATAAAAAGTATCTAAAAAAGCGAGATACACAATTAAGCTATAAGTTTTTCAAATCAGTAGCTTCAAAATATGCTCTGTGAAATCTGAAGTTTTTTTTCGAATATGTGGAACCGATCTGGTTATATTCTGATCGTAAAAAAAAGACGAATTGTTAGCTCTAAACGTTCTAATGTAAGATACTGTTTACAAATACGACATAATACATATAAATGTTATATTAAATCATAGATAAAGTCTATTACTGTTTAGTGTTTACTTTTGAGACTGAAATTTCTGATGGCGCTCAGATATTTCGTCAAAATTTAAAAATTTTGTTACGGAAGTTATAATCATAAAACAGTCAGCTGATCGCTGCTCCTAACTATCAACAAATAGCCGCCATTATTTATTCTCAAGAAATTTTACATACACGACTTTGTCTTATTTCATAGATTTTGTCATTACATGTAAACACTAACTAACACATAAATGTCAAAAACTATTATAAAAGTGACATCGTCAAATCATTTTTTAAATTGGTTAATCGCTAAAGATCATATTTTTAATTTTTTCTCTAATTAGAATTTAATTAAAAATGTAGCAGTTAAATGCAACACAGTTAAATATCTATTAACATAATAAGTAATTTATAAATATTTATAAATATTTGTTTTGGCCGTTGAAATTTAACTTTATTTATTTTTGAAGATATTTATTTTACAATTAACCAGAAAAACAGTACAAATCAAACAAGAAATGGAATTTTTAAATTTAAAGTAATGAACCGTTTTGTAGTACCAAGCAAATTGTGAGTAAACGTTGTATTTTTGCTTTTTTTTAATGTATTTTTATTTAGTTAAATTATTTTGTATAAAAATCAACATTATATACAGATATTAAACATTTCTTGATTTTGGTTTGGTGGGATTGGAAAACTAACAGTTTGTTAACCATATCAAATTCATAATAAATTTCACCTTAGTAATTTCTTTTGGTTTCAAATAATAATTGTTTCCAGAACTCAACTCTTTCTCCATCGGGATCTTTAACAATTGCAAATTTGTTATCTATTTCTAAACAATCGAAAGAAAACTTTTTATTTTCAAGTTTTGATAGCGGATTCCAAACAAAATCAATATTTTCAGAGCATTTTTCTTTTTTGTCTGGTGTAGGATTTCCATATTTTGAAAAAGAAGTCCAAACTTTGCACAAAGTTTTTACCATTTGTAAATCCTGTTCACTTGGTTGCACATGCTCAGCAGCTTCATTCGGATAAAAAAGATAATACAATTCATCGCCATGACAAGCACCTTTAATGTGCTCGTATTTGTAACGTACTTTATAAAAATTTAATTTCCCATCATATGCAAACTTGAAACAATATAATGGCGATTGAGACTGATATTCATTATGAAGCTCAACAGTTTTATGAAAATCAACTACAAAACAAATATCTCCCAAAGCTTCGCACAACTTACTAACATCTTCAATGGATTTTCCATTAAAATAAAATTTTCGAACTTTATTTACAATATTTTTACATTGGTGACTTTCCGGTTCGCATATTGTGCTTGGAATCAAACACGATAAATCTAAATCAATTTCTTCGACGGTTTTCGAACTATAGGCCATTAGCATTATTCCTTCTTGTGATGTATAACCCATTATAATTGGAATACTTTCGGCAAATTGTTCTGTTTTTATTATATCGATTGGATTTTTAGTAATAAATGGTTTCTCGCTATTCGGTGATTCGATTACTGGACCAAATGGAAGCCTTAAAAAGTGTCCCCTCTCTTCTTTTGACAGCACCTTATACATACTTGCAATAAGTTCATGTGAATTTTCAAATTTTTGAAGAAAATGTGCCGTATCAACAGCATTTCCTGTGAAACCAAGACATTCTGCTAGTTTAAAAGCTTTTTCTTGTGCATTTTGAGATATTGCCCATTCCATCGTGGCCAAACCGCTATGGCATATTAATTTATGAAAATATTTTCGGGACTCATTGCACAAAAAATGAAAATGAGCTGATGCTGCTCCGGCACTTTGACCAAATAATGTTACATTTTTTGGATCACCATTAAATGATGTGATGTTTTCTTGAATCCATTTCAAAGCCAACTGCTGATCTTTAAGACCATAATTTCCCGAAATGCCACCATCTGGTAAACTTAAAAATCCAAAAGCACCTAATCTATAGTTGACTGTAACCAAAATAACGTTTTCCTCTATCAAAAATTTTGGATATAATATATGTCGGTTGCCGTATCCTGTCATAAATCCTCCCCCATGAATATAAACTATAACTGGAAACTTATTTTCGCTTGTAACATCTGGCGAATAAACATTTAAATATAGGCAATCTTCGGAACCTGTCACTTCTTTAGTAAAAGCGTTGAATTGAAGTGAAGAATTTGGTTGTTTTGTACAATCTAAGAGCTCTTTCGGGAAGTGCTCAAGAGGTTGGGGATTTTGAAATCTTAAACTACCAACTGGTGGTTTAGCATATGGAATTCCAAAAAATTTGTAATATAGTTTCTCATGAGAGAGTATTACTTTTTCTCCCATTATTTTACCCTGAGGTAAATCTAACGTAACGATCGTTGACATATTTTTCTAAAAATAGAGTAAAAGTAATAAAATAGTATTAGTTTTTAAAAACAAGTACTTAATATTTAATAAATAACAACTTTTAATAATTTATTTATTAGAAACTAATAATCAATATTAAATTATAAAAATAAAACCTATAGATATTTAATTTTTTGACAAGTGGGCACAATTTTACAATAAACTACTTTGGCATTAACAAAAACAACTCAGTTATTTTAAAACTACTCTCGAAGGCTATTATTTTTTAATAAGTGAGTTATATAACTTCCGTTCTTTTATTAGGTTTATTTGAAAGTGTATAAATGATTGGGAATGCTACACAGTTTTAAAAAAAAATTAGCTGTTTGTCAAAAATTAAAGTTGAAGTGAGTTATTTCTTAAATTTTTTCTTATGAAAATAAACTGACATTATACTTTTATATTGCACTGAAAGATAACCACGTTTGTAACAAAAAAAAATTAGTAAAATGAGTACAACATTTCAAGTGCCAGTGTAAAATAATTTGGATTAATACAAGAGTCGTGTCACTTACCAGTTGATAGTGACACAGGAATCTTCTTATTCTAGCAGCTACAAATAACATCTATCAAATAAAGCTATCAGTTGAATGCGGTAACAGGTGCTATTCTAGAAGTCATACACATTTTATTAAACTTTTATAGCATTAAAATTTATTTTGCAAAAAAAATATTTTAAAATTTATTAATTTAAATTTATACTTTTACATTTCGACAAAAAATCTCATATTTTTCGATTTTAACTCATTCACTATTGAATTTAAAAGTTAGTAGTTAATCTCACCACATGGAATAGTCAAGTCATCCAACTTTAAGAGTAAAATAACAAAAATCATATGACATTTGAATGAGTTTGTTTTTTGTCTTGTTTTGAGCTACCGTTACAATGAATTCGATTATTATAATTCTAGTGCTAATTAATTTTTAATTACGTTTTCAATCGAAATTGTCCGTAATGCGTCAGGTTCGAACTGTCATTTGATTTCCGCTTTTAATTATACAAACATACATAATAAATGGAATATTAAATGGCTCGTTTCGCTGTCACAAAAGACAAATTAACTGGAGAAAAAGTTGAAAAAAAAATTGCTTTCTTGTTGAACGAATTCATATGATATCGAGCTTGTACACACAGCACAGCACACAAAAAAAAAATTTTTTTTCTGAAAAGATTTTAGGTATATTTTTCTCTCTCTCAAAAAAAATATTTTTTTTTTGCTAATTAATTTTATTTTCAAAAACATCAAGGTCAAAAAATTATTTACCTGGGACTTAAAAAATTCTTCCCATTTTCTTTCAGGGAAAAAAAAACAATATATCCATATCCATACAGTCATAATATGTATGTATATTTGTATGTATGTTTTAGGAGCTTAAAACGTTTGAATAGATAAATATTGCATGCACGTACATACATACATGCATATGCAGGGATATAAGTTAAGATTTAAGAACATTGCAGAAACAAAAAATATTTCTTATAAACCCGTTATTGCCTAAAATTAAAATATACATACATACATATGTACATGTACCTAGTTCAGAATATTTCATTCTTAAAGTTCAGGTAAAAAGAAGATTTGATTGGATATACAAAGAAGATAAATACTCTTTTCAGTTTTGTTTTTGTATTTTAACAGTGATTTTTAAGTTAAAATTATATGTATGTATGTACATATGTGTCCTAATGTACGTAATATGTGTATAAAAGGCTTTAGTTTTATTTTTTTTTATAATTATAATAAAATTTTTTCATTCCATTTCATGAATTTTGTGATTCGTTTTTTTTTTTTTTTTTTGGTCCTCTTTTGGTTCACTTTCTTGTTGTGCTCCTTATTGTATTTAATGTTCTTATAACACGTTATATATGTATGTATATAATCCTATAGTTACCCAAGAGAGCATAATTATGGTATATAATGTAGATACAATTGCACACACAAACTTTGACATTTTATAATACAAGAATATGAAAAAATTTATTTGTATTATAGGACTGAATGTTTTTTTTTTACAATTGCATGCAATTACTCTTTCGTGTGTCACCCCCTAGTAACAAAATCTATAGTGATCCTCATACAAAATATGATTGTACATATGTATATACATTTGGATGAGTGTATGATATTTGTACACATCATAATATTATTATACATTTTTTTTTTCAAGCAAGTTTTTTTTCTTGTTGATTATTATTACCGGTAAGTTTTGATGAATACCGGAAGAATTTTTGAATCAATCGTGTGATATTACTCTTAGTGAACGGATGTACATGTACACGAAGTTATAGGACGGGTATTATGATATTTCTCGTATAACGTGATTATTATATAATTAAAATATGTTTTTATAAAATTTTATGTGTAAAATACAAATGGATAAATATAAATAACGTTTTTTTAAAAATTAATTTATTCGATTAAATCAAAAAACAAAACATTTTGTTCACATATTTTGGAAATTAAAAAAAAATAAACGGTAAAAATGCCTGTTATAAAATTGTTATAAATATAGAAATAAACTGGCATGCTTATATGAAAAAAATAATTAAATAAATTCATAGTGAATGCATAGTTACTTCATATACATTTAACATTGTGTTTTTTTTATTGGAAGCAGAGATCAGGATATTACAAATATAATACACAAAATATAAGGTAAATATATATGCAAATTTATATTACTTTTTATATATTAACTTATTATATATTATGTATATTTATAACAATAACATAATTTAAATTGTTCTTGATTTCCGAAACATTGTGTACACAATAAATGTTTTGAATTATTCAACAATTATGACTTGTAATTGCAAAAGTATGTATAAATACCGAATTTTAGAAACTAAAATGGATTGCCGAGTAGATTAATACTTTCGCACATTTTTCAAGAAAAACTGGAAATTTTCCAATATGTACATACATACATCTACATATATATCGGATAAAAGTACAGAATTTCGTTCTGAAACTCACATTTTACAGCTAGCTTTTAATTTTGAAAATTTTACGAAAATGTACTAAATGTTCTGGGAAGAAATTTAATTATTGAATAACATATAAGAAAAATATTGTTTGATTTAAATAAGAAATTTTTGAGTATCAAGCGAACAAATGAGTATAAATTTGAAATGAGTAGTAGGTAGAAACATATATATAATTCATAATTTAAAATCAATCTTATAATTTTAAGTAGACATATATCTACCTACATACCTATAAAAATTTACAATATCGATCAATATATTCACCCTTAAAAATAAATAGTTTTAATAAAAAGGAATCCCAGATTTTCTTCCCTTAATAAGTTTCGTATCTTTCCCTCTTTAAGTAAACTGTATGTTTAAGGTAAAATGTATGTTTACCTTTCTTAGCCAGATGTACATATCCTTACATCATAACTCAGGTAGTTAAATGAATTGTTAAAAATTAAGTTAATTTTTTTTTTTTCGAATTAAATTTCGGTGATGTTCAAAAAAAATATATATATATAATATTCAGGTAGAAAAAACTAAACTATATAAAAAGGCAATCAGCTGAAAAAAAAAATGTTTTTCTCTACGATCACAAACGATATTGAATAAAATAAAGCCCGCTCTTATTTGAACATGATTTTCATGTGAAAAATAAAAAAATCTTTGCATAACAAAGCATTTAAATTTAATATTTCGTAGTAAGTTAAGAAGCTTAGGAAAGTCTGCATCAAATACCATACAAATTTTATATATATGGAACACCTTAATTAAAAATCAGGAAAATTAAATCGTTTTGTAATACAGAAATTTGTTAATAAACTAAACAATACAGTTAAAATTCATTAGATCAATTAGTTCAAGCGCCAGGAATTAAAAATGCTGGCAAAATTTATATTTTGCATCTTTATATTTATTAGCAAATTTTATATAAAATTAATTCGTTCTTGCGATATTTTTAAAATTTATCATTTTTGATTTCTTAATCGAAAAATAAAATAATCTAGAATAGAAAAATAATCTAGGCTAAATTTCATTTTTTAATTTTCCCCATTTAAAATTATTTTTGTCGAATACCGTTTGACTATGCTTCATTAAAATATGACTATACGAGTTTTCAGTTTTTTTCGCAACTAGTTATAATTATAATATTGTTCTATAAGCTGTTTTTCATTATCAATATGTTTGATAACACTTGTATGAGACTCTCATTTGTTCTGACAATATGAAATCATATTGATAAAAAGTCTAATATTGTATCTCTACTATATTTTCTCAAAAGTAATACATGTAATACATCATATTACCTAATAAATATAATGATCACCTAATGATTGTAAATTATATCTACTTTAGGTATATATATATTGAATATTCCCGATCCACAGCATATTTATTTTTTAAAATGGACACAAAACTCTTGCCTTTCTTCTATTTTGTTTTCATTATAATCTTCTGCCCAAAAAAAAATCAAATTAAATCTGGAATCTGAAAGGAATTTAAAATTTTAATTGAAATTTTTGCTTTATATAGTAAACTGTTAAAAAAAACAGCATACATTAATGCACATATAGTTAGTATTTGTCTGAAGAGACTCCTTTGAGTTCTGCCTTAATGCATATACTTGTATATAATTCCAAAAACAATAAAATAACAAAAACAAGGATACTGGATACAAAAGAAAACAAAAATCGTCCTTTGAATGCAAACGGCTATTATAAATGCAAAGTTATGCAGAAATCTAAAAACCCTTTCAATGTGTATACACGCTAATATATATGGGAACACAAAATAATATTTCTTATCGCATCAAAAAAAAAATATATATATATATTTGATGAATAGGGACCTCGCTTTACTTCTTTAATTTGCAATTTAATGTTGTTTTTATAAGCCTTTGTCTTTTCTTTAAGAAAATTTACGCGAATTTTTATTTTACTTTGACTATCACAACAAAAAATTTTATTCAATGCAATAAAAAATTTGCAAAAAATTTGTATTTGATTGTTAT